ACTTAAAAAAAAAAAAAAAAAAAAAGCCATGTGTGGTGGCACATGCCTGTAAACTCAGTCTAAACTACACAGTGAGGTCAAGGCAAGCCTGGGCTACATAGCAAGACCCTGTCTCAAACAAACAAACAAAACAAAAATAAAGAAGCATTAAACTAACTGGGCATGGCCATGTGCCTGAGTCCCACCTATTCAGGAGGTTGAGGCAGGAAGATAGCTGGAGCCTAGGAGTTCAAGACCAGCCCAGACATCTAATAAGATTATATCTCAAAGAAACAAAAACAAGGGCCGGCATTTAGCTCAGTGGTTCCACTGCCTGCCTCACAAGCACAAGGACCTAAGTTTGATCCCCGGTACCAAAAAAAAAAGAAGAAAACAAAACAAAACAGCCAGGCATGGTGGTGCATTCTTATAATCCTAGTACTCAGAAGGCTTAGGCAGGAGGATCTCTGTGAATTTGAGGGCAGCATGGGCTACACAGTGAGTTCAAGGCCAGCTCTAACTACATAGTGAGACCATGTCTCAAAAACAAAATAGTTCAGCGGTTCTGTTGCCTGCCTTGCAAGCTCAAGGCTCTGAGTTTGATCCCCAGTAACAAAAAAAAAACAAAAAACCCCAAAATAAAAATGTGTTAAGAAACAAACTGAGAAAGAACAAATGGACTTGTTCAACACCTGGGCCTGACTCATGCCTTTACTTCTTCCATTACCACATCAATGGTCTTCAGTCTACATCTGCTGCCCAGTCTCTCATGGTCAAGTCCTAGACTTGGTCATTACCAAGGCAGCACAATTCAATTTCAGTCTCCTACTACCATCTCCGACCCACCCAGGTCACTTGTCCTACTTCTACCAGAAAATTATTCACCTTCATCAAAATCGTATTTATTGTCCACTTCTAGTCCACCTTGACAAGCAGGCCCCTGAGGACACTCTCAGGACACCCTTGATATCTGTTTTTCCTGGCAATCCCCAACCACTGCATGAAACTGACACCAATGACTACTACTATTTTTTGAACAACCACTATATACCAAGCACAGTTTAAAGCACTTTATTAATTCTCAAACAACTGTGAGGTGGGTGTCATTATTATCATCCTCACTTTACAAACAAGGAAACAAGAGTCTCTTAACTTGCCAGGAAAGATGCACAACCATACTAACTGGTCTCAATTCAAATGCACAGCAACAAGCTGAGCACAGTGGTACATGCCTGTCATCTCAACACTCTGGGAGGCTGAGGCAGGAGGACCACAAGATCAGGCCCTGCCTTGAGCAACTTAGCAAAACTCTGTCTTAAAATTAAAAATTAAAAAAGCGTTGGGGATGTAGCACAGTGAAAAGTTCCCAGGTTCAATCCTTAATATCACCAAAAAGAAAAAAAGATGGCAGCTTTAGTAACACAGGTCTTCAGTCTTACATACCTGGGAGGCTGAGGTGGGAGGACCACTGGTTAGAGGCCAGATTGGGCAGCATAGCAAGACTATCTTAAAAAAAGAAAAAAAGGCAGAAAAAAAACTTCCAGTGAACACCAAGCAAAGAACAGCAATGTAATCAGCTGTGGTGGTACAAGTTCAAGGCCAGCATGGGCAGCTTAGTGAGATCCTTTCTCAAAAAAAATTTTTTTAATTGTTTTTAAAGGGCTGGGGATATAGCTTGGTGGCAGTGTTCCTGGGTTCCATCTCCAATACCACAAAAACAAACAAAACAGCAACGTAGACTGTCCTCAACTTACAATGGTTCACCTCCAAATGTAAGTTTCAATTTATGATGTGTTTATTAGGACACAACCCTTCTTAAGTGAAGGAGCATCCTCCCTGGGTCATTCCTAGTGGGTTTTTGTTTTTTTTGTTTTGTTTTGTTTTGTTTTGTTTTTTTGAGACAAGGTTTCACTATGTAGTTCAGGCTGGCCTTGAACTGACTATGTGTCCCAGGCTGGCCTGGAAGTCATACCAATCCTCCTGCCTCAGCCTCCCCAAGTGCTGGAATTACAGGTGTGAGCCATCAGGCCTGGCTTCCTCAGTGGTTTGTTTTTTTGTTTGGTATGAGGGATCGAACTTCGGACCTTGTGCTTGGGAAGCAGGCGGCAGCACCACTGAGCTAAATCCCCAGCTCTTCCTCAGTGGTTTTGCGGAACAGATCATCTCCTGTTTTCTGCTCTACCCAAATAGAATATCTTTTTCTAGCTGAAGAACACAGAAGCCAAGAGAAATAGCTGCTTCTGAATGCCCCTCTGCCTTCTTCAGATTTCAAGGAAGGAGTCTGTGCTTCAGCCAAGTCTTCCAATGTACTGTCAGGAAGTCTGGTATCCCCTTTCTCTCCTACAGCAAAGCTACAGCTTCAATGTGTTCCCCAAAAGTTCATGGGTTCAAAACATAAACCTCAAATTCATATGTTGATGACATTTGGAGGTGGCCTTCAGGAGGCAAATAGGGTTGGATGAGATCATAAGGGAGGGCCCCACAATGGGATTAGAGGCTTTACAAAGAGAAGAGACCTGGATTTGTGAGCTCCCACCATGTGATGTCCTCCATCAGCTTACTACGTAGCAGAAGGCTCTCATCACATTTAGCCCCTGATCTTGGACTTTCCTGACTCCTGAATTCACCATGTAATTCAGGCTGGTTTTGAACTCACTATGTAGCCCAGGCTGGCCTTGAACTCATGGCAATCTTCCTGCCTCAGCCTTGCTGCTGGGATTACAGGCATGTGCCACCACACCCAGCCAATAAAATCTTTTTTTAATGTTACCCAGTTCTTGGTATTCTATCATAACAATAAAAACCACACTAAGACAAGCATCAGTTCTTTCCTCTCTGCTGGGTTTTTCCTGATATCACAAAAGCATCTAATAAACCCTTTTTTGTCCCTACATTCCTTCTTGTCATTCATTTCCTGCCTTCCTGTCACAGCAAAACTTCTCCAAACAATTGTCTATACTTCTGCCCAGTTTAATGAGCTTCTTCCTCCACCACTCCTCCGAAAGTGCCCTTGTCAAGGTCATGATGTTCTCTTGGATCATTCACTAAATCCATCTCACTACCTCTCAGTAGCAGTAGTCATGACCCCTTTCCACCTCTATCACCTCAGTACTTTAACCCCATTTTGCTGGAGCATGCAGGACTATGCATGAACCTTCTCCTCTTCCATCCATGTGCTCTCTAGAGATTGAATCCCTTCTCAAGACACAAGACACCATATAGAAGCTCTACCACTTCTCAAAGTTTATTCCCAATCCCAATTTCTCCCCTTAGCTTTATATTTCACATTTAGAGTACTTAAAAACCCTTGACTTCTGTGCTAGTTCCTATTCATATGCCTGCTCTCTCCTTTGAATTATGCCAACCATCCAACCAGCTGCAAAAATATGAACACTGCCAGGGATTTAGCTCAGTGGTGCCGCTACCTGCCTCACAAGTGTTAAGGTCCTGAGTTTGATGCACAGTACCAAAAAAAGAGGACACTGCCTTTGATTGCTTCCTTCCCTCTACCTCCACATCCAGTGGATCTCTAAGATCTACAAAATACACTTCAAAAACATCCACATCTCTCCAAACTCACTTTGCCCAATTCTCTATCATCTTCTGCCTACATAATAAATGCATCATATTAAGTCTCCTTGACCTTATTCTAGTTCACCTACAATCCATTCACTCTTTTTTCCTTTGGTACACTCCTCTTTTAAAACTTCCGGGCCAGGCTGGGCATGGTGGCTCACACCTGTAATCCCAGCACTCGGGAGGCTGAGGCAGGAGGATCGTTGTGAGTTCAAGACCAGCCGGGGCTACATAGTGAGTTCCAGGTCAGTCTCAACTATATAGTGAGACCCTGTCTCAAAAAAACAAAAAAATAAAAAATAAAAAAATAAAATAAAACTTCTGGGCCAGGGATTTAGCTCACTGCTTCTGATACCTGCCTAGCAAGTGCAAGGTCTCTAGTTTGATCCCTGGTACCAAAAATAAACAAATAAATAAAACTCTCCCATGTAAACTGGGCGTAGTGGCACATGCCTGTAATCCCAGCACTTGGGAGGCTGAGACAAGAAAATCACCTCAAGTTAAGAGTTCAGCAAAGGTGTAGGGAAGGTGGGATGGGTAGGGGAAGGGTGATAAGGGAAAAGAAAAAAATGTGAGAAAATGAAAAGATGGAAATAAAGTGCATGTAAATGGGGAGGGGAGAAGGGGGTGAAGGGAGGGCAGGGACAAGGGGAAAAAATGAGAGCCAAGACCTGTCATGTAGAGGTACAAGATCCCAATGATGAATGTAACTGTACTGTATACCTAAAATGTACCAATAAACTCAGTTAAAAAAAAAAAAAAAAAAAAGAGTTCAGCTTGGGCTACATACTGGGACCCTGTCCGAGGGGAAAAAAAAAGGAAGAAAAACACTCTCCCATGGTTTCTCAAACTCCAAAAGGCCTTCACACAGAAGCCCACATGGTTCAGCTGCTCATCACCTCTCCATCCTCACCCTACTTTCCACCACACTGACACACTTTATGAAAGTTCTGTGAACACATACTGCTGTTCTCCAGCTCTCAGTCTTTATACTATTGGGCCGGGAATTTAGTTCAGTGGTTCCACCGCCTGCCTCACAAATGCAAGGTCCCGAGTACCAAAAATAACCCAGTTCAATCCCCAGTACCAAAAAAACCCAAATGGACAAATAAAAAAATTATATGTGGAAATTCACAGTAAAGAAATTCCCCTTTGTGAACAGGAAACCTGTGAACTATATTTTCTCCATCTACATGAAGGCCATAAATGTTCAGTGTAGGATGAAGGGGCAAAGACTCTCACCATTTCTGTGCATTCCACTTGCTCCCCATCACTGTACAGCTCCGGGGGCAGATTATAAATCCTCAGGATGTTATCAGCACTACTGGTCAAGATGCAGGAACCATCCGGGGCCCTAGAAATATAGTATAAGAATTAGAAAACTGAAGAGAATTTCCAAGTGTAGAGCAAGGCCTGTGCCTACCTCTATGTTAAGTGAGCCCCAGTCCTTGATATGACACAAAGTCCTAGATCAGTGATGGTGAACCTTTTAGAGCTTTCAATGCTACGAACAGCCCGCTGGGGCATGACTGCCATTGGTTGTTTCGCCACTCCCGTCCTGTCCTAGATGAAACTTAGGCTCAGTCATCAGAGTGATTTCCTCCCAAATAAGTGTAGTGCTTTAAGGTGAAAACCCTCAAGGTGGTCAACTACTCCCAGATCTACTATCCTTACTTACCACTTACAGCCCTTCAAGAAGTTCTCAGGTTGGGCACTGAATTCGGACCAGGAACCACTAAGAAATCGCGGTAGCTGGGAGAAGCTGTAGCTCCAAATGCTGGAAGGAAGATGAGGAACAAATGTGGGTCGCCAGAGCAAAAGGAAAATGGGCCTGAGAAGTGGAGGATAAGATCTCTTACGTTTTCACTCTCCTCAGATTCTAGATCAACTGCCACTTACTTGTCTCCCTCACCCTCTGGAGCGGGTTCCTCAGACATATTTTCCACAGCTTCTCCAGCGCCCAACTCGGGGCCATTCGTTTCTTCTGTAGGCAGGCTTGCATTTTCAGAAAGTTCTTGCTCCCCGATTCGAGGACTCGAGTCCCTGGCAGTATCACACTTTGCTTCCAGGGAAGCGGAGGGAGAAGCTGGGCCCGCCTCCCCCAGCTCCTGAGACACAGTTGGCCCAGCGACGGGATCCGGCGACGTTGGGGGTGGATCATCCCCATTGGGTGAAGGTGGGATCAGTTCAGGGTCTGTATTTTTGTCTATCAGGGAATCCTGAGGAAAAGGACAGGCTGGAGCTGGGGCCTGGTATGAAGAAAGCCTGTCCGGCGATAAAAGTCGCTCCTCCGACATCTTCATAGTGCAGAGGAAGCGCGCCAGCCACTGGCCCCAGCTGGGCAACCCACTTTCCGCGGGTACTGGCTGCCCAGTCCGCGGAACGGCCGGGACGGCTCCGAAGTTTTCAGAAATCCGGACGCAAAATTGGAAAAGTCCACAGTGCCTTTCTTCCCCTTCTGGGGTGAGGCATCAGGCCCTCAAGAAGCCAGGCACACAGAGGGGATACCAAACCGAAAGCACCGCTTTCTGTGGAGCGCTACTCGCCACTTGTTCTCGCGGGATTTGGGCCCTCCTTCCGATTGGACCTCCGCAACCCGGATAAGATTTCGCCGGCAACGCAAAAAGGGTTGGGAAGCGAAGTAACAAGTTAGTTTTACCCTGGGGGCTCCTAGAGGATGCTTGGAGTTGTCTGAATGCTTTACCTAAGTGAAAGCATCCGACAGTCTCCCACGGTAATCCTTAGAGGAGCTACCCACCCTCGCCTGCAGAGGGCGCATAGTTTTCATAGGTTTTACACTTCTGCATCTCCCTCGCGAAAGTCCTCAGGGTTGTCTTCATTCATTCATTGAATAAATATTAATTATCAATTAAGCTTTTACTCTCCCATCTAGGCGTTGGAGAACATAACAATGAATAATACAGTTAACAAATTCTCTACCCTCATACGGTTTTTGTTGCTGTGCATGAAAGGCAATGAACAGATAAACCTTTACAGATGGTGATGAGGGCTATAAAGGAAATAAAACAAGTTGATGTGATACAAAGTACCTACGGAACGCCTCAGACTGAGATATTAAGGAAAGCCTTCCCAAAAGGTGACATTTTAGCTGATAAGGAAAAACCTATCCAGCTCGATCTGAAAGAACAGTCAACGTTCCAGTCAGAATGAATGGCAAATGCAAAAGCTTTCTTCCTTCAACCCTTTATACAGTGGCAAGACTCCACTAAAATGGTTCCCACCGATCCTGCCCTTCCAGCCCTGGCTTGTAGTACTTTACCACCCCCAAAATATTAGTAGCACCGTTAACAGAGAGAATCCCGACTCTCCGCACCTACTTCGGCAACTTTCCATTTCCTTTCCCTCACCGCCTCCAGGCAAATTACTTGCCCTTACTTGTCATGGCGACGGTCCAGCTTTGTGCCAGGAGTCTCGCGAGGGCTGCTGGGATTGGGATTTTCCCCTCCCATGTGCTCAGACTGGCGCTAAAAGTTTTGAGCTGCTCTAAAGTCCAGAGCCACCACCATCCTGACCATAGGTAGCTGCTGGGCTCCGGGGGTACCAGGCGTCCGGGCTCGGTGCGTGCCTCGCAGGACTGTGACACGCTCCCCTGAGAACTGGGTAAGCTTTTGACTAAGTGTGATGAGTCCTCCCTGAGTCACGGACTCTGTGGCTCGGAGTATTTGCTGCGAGAATCGCAAGGTTTGGGGGTGGGTTAGTGGGGACTTAGCGAGTGTGGGTGAGTGCGTAGAATGGAAGCTTAGCTAGCGGGATCAGCATAGGAAGGCAATGTTGGGAGGCATGGAGGCAGATGATGGGGATGTTAGTTAGAACTAGCCAGGCTGAAAGCTGGACACCTGGACGGGAGGTGGTGATGGAACTTAGGAGAACTTTGAAGAAGCCTAGGGGATCCCCCTCTCCCCAACCACACCTATCTACTCAGTGCAGGCTGTTGAGAGGCCCTAAAATAAGATGCACAAAGCATTTGGGTTTGAGACTTAAGGAACTCGTGCCTCGAGATTTTAGAGTACATGGTGTCCTTCTGAAACCCTGGGCTCCATTCCGAAATTAATTGGGTGATTCGGGAAGCCCGAGCTGCTAAGGTCCCACAACTTCCGGACCTTTGTCTTTTCTGAAATGGTATTTCCAGTGGGCCCCCGCACCGTTACGTGGAGAAAATCCAATTAAAGACTGTCAGCCACGGAAGTGGGAAATGCTGAATAAAATGTTTGCCGGCGAGTACCGGCCAGGACTATCCGGGTCTGAGAGGCCTGGCAGCCCTGTTATTGTTTGGCTCCACATTTACATTTCTGCTGCTTGCAGGAGCGTTTCCGGTTTCTTTTTGTCGGAGCAGCTCACTGTTCACCGGATGAGAGGGGAGTAGAAAGAGAAAAAATGTTTTAGGCTGATTCCTGTTGCTTTCGGAGGAAGACTACTGCTTCCTTCCCCCACTCCGTTTTTCTGGACTGTTTGGTTATTGCTTTTGCAAAGAAAGGGTGTTTGTTTTGATACAAACCTCAAGACCTCCCTCTCTTTGGATGGTGTGCTCCACCCCATAGGTGGACGCTACTATTGCGTGAGAGACGGGGGTGGGGTAGATGTGCAGAAGACAAGACCTGGGTATTTTAGAAAGTGGATACTCTTAGAAACCAGACCTTCAAAGAGTGCGATGGTAGACAGCTTGATTGTATCGGAAAAACAATTTATCTAGTATCCGGTTTGGGACTAGCTCATTCCAATACTGGACGTAGACTGAACGTCCTGAAAGCGGAAGGGGAGGGCCTTGGGAGAGAGGCATCCCTGGGTCCTAAGTGCAGCTGTCTGGTTGCCTCTAGTTTACCCAAGTGGGAGGCGGCGGAACCTACCTCTTCTGCTGCTCGTCTATTTGTTCTGTGTCTTCAGTAATGAGGGCTGGTCTTTCATTGAGGAGTTACTATCATGCACCCACTGTATGCCAGGCACGATGCACCCTCCTTGTGTGCTTGTTTTTTTCTAACCAGAGGTAGCATTTACACACGGTGGTATATAGAACGTTTTAAAATTTCCTCTTGTCCCTCCGAAGTTTCCATAATTTTAGTCTATGAAATAAATTGACCATAGATTAATTGGTTGGAAAATAACATTCTATTAAAATTTTACAAGTTATGAGACTCAGGAAAGCCATAGTTCCGTTTTATATAGAACTAAACCAGGGTAGCAGCTTGGGCTTTCAGAGGGAGGGCGTGCAGATTATGGAAAAGTGAAGGACGATGGTGCATACTGAGCAAGTATTTTGTTATGCAGATAAAACCTCCCAGGTAACAGCTGCTTGTGGTGATCTCCGTCTCTTTCTGGACAAGGTGTCAGAATCCCATTCGCCTCTGAATGTGAAAACATGTTTCCAGGGCGGAAGGGGAAATAACAGAAACACCTGTGCCTGGCCCTGCTGTTCGCTAATGCAGATAGATGTAGATTTTTCTTGCCCAAAGGACAGGTTTCAGAGCTATCCTTGGGTCTGCAGAGGTCCGCAGTTTCTCTGAATTATTTTGTACAGTCATCCCTAGATTTCCATGGGGTTAGTTCCAGCATGCTCAAGTCTTATATATGCCATAATATAAGACGATGGCCTATGCGTTTCCTCACACTTTAAATCATTATATCTAATAAAAATAAATGCTGTGTAAGTAGTTGTTATACTATAGTTTTGAGGGGAAAGATCTGTACATGTTCATTAGAGACTACATAGTACATGGTAGCAACAACAACCTGTTTTGTTTTGTTTTGTTTGGTCCGGGGTGGGGAGATCGAACTCAGGACCTTGTGCTTGCCAGTTAGGCAGCGGAACTGCTGAGCTAAAATCCCGAGCCCAACGTAACTTTTTTTTGCCAAATGCAAACTATGAAAAAAATTAACAAATTTTAGCAAATCAAGCATGGCAAGACTCTTCTTAAAACAAAGGAAGATCTATTTACATTCTGTGTTACTGCCTATTTGAAAGTCATTAGAAGGTATGAGGGCTAGTAAGCAGATACAGCAGTTATAGGTTACAAAGGTAATATGCCTGAATTGCATTTTTATATACAGTACTAGCAACCATTGAGTCCGAGGTTAGAAAATGAGTTTTTAAAATGATAATTCCCAGTGGAAACAAAGCTTCTGTAAATACCCAGAGGAAGAGGCTTGAAGGGAGGGAAGGGGAGGGGAATGGGAAAAAAGAAGCAAGATATATCATGTTCCCTATGATGAATGTTATCATTGTGTGTATCTAAAATGTACCAATAAAATTTTAATGTAAAAAATAAAATACTAGTGCCAAATAGAAAAAAAAATTACTGTTCATAAGCCAAAATAAACCTCCTATTTTAACAATAATGCCATTCTAGCACTCAAGAGGCTGAGACAAGAAGATCCCCGCAAGTTCGAGGCCAGCCTGGGCTACATAGTGAATTCAAGACCAGCCTGAACTACATAGCAAAACCCTGTCCCCC